TTCAATTTCAGCAGTGACAGACATTTACTAACTCAATTCTTGTTACTTTAAAATCGTAACTTAACTCTTTCTAATAAGATTTATCATTTTAAATATTTATTATTAGTTCACATTGATTAACCGGTATATAGTTTAGCATAGAACAGTCAAGTATTGAATTACTAACTTCATTGGTCATTATTCTTTACATCAGCTTGTAGCATTTTCAGAATAACCGTTTGTTCAGAGAAAGTACACTGATATTTTACTAGATCCTGAGAAAATGAGCTTAAATCATAAGTGTTAATAACTTTCTGTTAATTACAATATATAATGGACTTGTTTTAAATGAATTCTCATCTCAATTTTTGAGAGGATTCTCTATTATCACGTTGGTGTTGGATGGAATCTTTAGAAATACTTTTGTCAATGCTTTTCTACTATAAATATTATATATTTATGCATTTTTATGGTCTAAAGCATAAATCTTGCTTTTTATTGTTTCAGTGATTGATAGCAATTCGATTGCCGTATAATGGTTTCTTCTTTGATGTGGCTTCAGTGACGATGCAATAATCCATTTTCCTACAACTAGACAATGTCCAATTTTCTTCTGTTGTTTTCGTCTGTATTGTCAGTTTAAAAGATAAGATTATTTTACAAAAGAAATCAGGAGAAAAATAAAGGCAGTTAGAATGCATTTATTAATGAAGAGAAATAATACATATTGTTTTTCAAAAAAGTCGACAGATGTTTCAGGAATATCGATTCTTGAAGCGAAAATTAAAGTTAAGACTGATGATTTAACTGCTTACATTCAAAGGATCTAAATAGCGATCAAGTCATTGTAGTAAGATAGAATTTCCTTGAGGTACGCTTTTGATATTATTTTATTAGCTTTGAATATATTAGTAATACCATTTACCAAAATACCATCTGGTCGTAAGTTTAATTGCACAGAAAGTAGGTTTCATCATGAACTGATATAAACTGTGAAATTCTTTTAAAAAGCAGAAAACGATGAACTGTTTGTTTATCCCACGTTCAAGACTTCTTAACAGTACGCTCCTATGACCCTACATGAGGCTGGTCTAATGTCATCTCAACACCTATTACACTTTAATTTAATATTTGACTGAATTCCATTATTCGTAATTAAATCACGTTTTGGGCTAGTATGCCCTTGCACAAAGCCATAACAAGTCAAGTCAAAAAATATTCCTCAACCAGCTTGTGTTTTCCTTTTAAAAATTAATTATAAAATCAAATAAACTGTTGATGGAATAATTAATGCTATTTAGAATAGGGTAGAAGAATTTTAACTGAATGATAAATCTCAAATATTTATCTAAGACGTAAATTGTTAAAGAAGGAATCAAGCTCATAAAGCAGTGGTATATCAGTTTTGTTAATTGCAAAACTCTTGATTCGAAGAAATCAGTAACTTTCCTTGTACATCAGAACTTTTTGATTGTTCATTTCTTAGTTTGACTGAATTTAATTCAAAATTCAACTGTTCAGCAACCTAAAATAAATGTATAGAGATAGTGTTAATGTCCTTTTCAGTGTTAATTTACATCTCACGAGCGTCTGATTGCATTTGCCTGTGTTTTCTGGTTAGTTTGAGCAAACTCGATAGGGTAAAAATGGTAGGACCTTGAGGAACGATTGTTCCGGAAAGGATAGGTTAATTGGTTCATCACGATAGGCAAGCCCCACCATCACGTCAAGGTAGCAGCAACGATCGGGACTCTAACGTCATGTCAGGCGTCCATCCTCACCACCCAGTCGGTTTTAACAGATTCTCTATTGAATGCACGAAAAATGTTTTAAATAGAGTCACACTAAATGTAATTTGGGAATGTCGGGATCCAACTCTATTTCGTGGAGGAGGATAAATTCGGGGAAATTTTAGATCCGGATCTCTCAAAAAGGAGGTGTTATATCCCGTGGAGATTTTTGAATGGTAACTTTGAGAACTATTTATGGATCAATATGATATATTTCTTATTGTATAATTGTTAAGTAACTCAACTATTCATATTCGTGTCCCTCTTATTATAAGCTTTATTTTAACTTATAGACTATTATTAAACGATTTACCATTTTTGAGTTAACCCTAGTCCATTAATTACTGTTCCCCCTATTCACAGCCACATTTGGCCAAATATTGTTTCCTATTTTATGGTACCATGTGGTCAGTTTGTTTGGTATATGAACCCAGTAGGTTTGAGAATAATGATTCATATTGCAGAGACTGCTATTAGTGTTCCGAACTTAACTAGCTGGGCTAGGCAGAAGGCAGGACTGATAAGTACTCAAGACTGCTCATACGGCTTTTGTGTATCATTATCCGATCGATAAAATCACTGCTCTCTGATAGGCAGCTAAACTCGATATAACAAGAGATCGTATAAGCCATTTTGAATATACGCAATAAAGGTCAATTAGATTAAAACATGGACACTAGGGCGATAAAATACAGCTAGTATGAACTGTGAACTGATAAGTTGTTCAACGATCTGATCAATTAACAAGCATTTCGATAGCGGATAATACCATGTTATTTGTAGCTCACAGTCTGTAAGATGGAAATGTTCCTTCGACTAAATAACTTAAGATTTTTACTAATGACTTCATCAACGTCATGATGATCAGCAGTTACATAGAAGTAACAAAGCTTTTGAACTCACCATCCAAGAAATGAGTTCAAAGTACGAACGCCATTCCATAACCAAGTAGCTTCATTTTACCTAAAACAGTAGATGATAATAAAATATCTACAGGGGTGAATTGTTCTAATCCAGTTGCTTCAATTAAAGCAATTTTAGCAATCACTGACACGCACAAAATAATTAAGCACAATTTTTAACCCAACTGACTAAGTGATAAGGAATAACTGGGTAAAAAAGGAATATTTATTTAGAAATCAGAGCCTATTAAGCTAAAAAAAAAAACAAGCTGTATTACATCAGCTGTTTTGTCTTAACAGTAGACAAGGATGATAAAAATATATGGATGATTATAAATTCAATATTTCATCATTCAATGTCTTAGTTCTTAAATGTATACAATTTGTACTCTTGTTTAACCTCTTAACGTTTGCTTTCAACTTTTTTCCTTAACTTTTGTTCCGTTATCAGAAACAAATGAAATGTTATTTATATATTCAACATAGAAATTCGTTTCATTTTGAGGGAAATTAACGAAAATGTATTGATTGAAGATTAAGAGAATATTCTAGTGATAAAGTTAAAACAAGAATGACAACAGCAAAATAGACGTAAATCGAAATGTTTGCAAGCAGAGAAAACGCCGAATTGGAAGCAAAAATATAGCAAAAGGGATCAGATTTCTACGTTAAAACTATGAATGATTGATTATTTAAAAGTAATGAGATGAATAAAAACGAAACAGTACACAAAATGAAACAAAAAAGATAGGCACTTTATCCAAAACAATAATAAACTCAATATACAAAGGTACAACACACTAAAACACAATGGGAAAGAAGATAAACAACAAAATTAACACTTTCAAAAGTTAAATATAATCAAAAAAGATTAACGAACATGGACCAGCACAGCTTCGCATCCATTAAGAAATTTAATGTGATTTTGTGAGTGAGTCTACATACTTGTGTCATATATATATATATATATATATATATATATATATATATATGACGTGTGATAAGATTGAATGTAAAAGTACCTTTTGCTTTCAAAGACGATTTGCAAACAAAAGACAGCGGCAGAAAACAAGTTAAATCAATGAATAGCAATAACCATAATGAAATAATAATAATAATAATAGGGATTATACTACTGAGTGACGAATGATAATCAAACAAATATAAGAAAATACATAAACATAAGTACATTGTTAATTAATAATATTCTCTTCGATATGAAAATACAAATGCCTTGGTAAAAAGAAAACGAACGATTCAAACTCATACATTAATAAATATTAAACATATACGTTATTCACAGACTGATATACAAGTGCAAGTACACTTCAGCATCGCTGAATAAAACAAAACTTATCTATGTAAAAGCTTTTTGAATTAGAGGTTAAAAATCATCTCTACAATAAAAATAAATACTGAGTCATTTTGTACAAAGACACTATGACAGCATATATGCACAACACCGTAACGAAACAATAAGTATGAGGAGGATAAATGAAGCATATCAGTATCAGGAATTTCTTCTTATTCAAAGAGTTGATACAAAGTGAGAAATGATAATAAACACAAAAAAACTACCAATTCCTTCGATAAAACCACGAAAACTAATAGAAAACAACCAAAAAGTTAATGGACAACAATAAGAACAACTGTACAAAAAGGGCAGAATAAAAACAGATTACTACTGTGAACACATTAAGATAATATAACATATCAAGAATTTTAAAATCAAACTAACGATTGAATACATCACTTGGAAACGATTAGAAATCAAACAAAAGGTGTTGTTAGATCAGGCAAAAAATACTACACGTCACAATATGACAGTTTTTACTAGGAAATAATACAGCAAAATCAATGAATACTAATTAACTCCTGATAGAAGCTAATATGGTATACGCATGGCTGTGAATAATCCAGTAAGCACAAACGTCAAACCTATAAACAGGCAAATACAGACATGCACACATGTATACTTAGGGTCGGTATCCTATTTAATTATAACATGCAGAGAAAAGATATGGAATGTTAGGTAGCCATTTAAAGGGAAACAAGTGGACCCAATATTTATGTAGTTGATGGGAAGTGATAAGTCCCTCTAAAATCGACGGCTATTACATTTATTATTATTATCCATTTGAAGATAATTAGGAAGTATAATTTTTTTTAATATACCAAAATGACTGTCGATTGATTCTTAATCAATGTGTACGCAAAACACATAAGTGAATAAAATAGAAATTTATAATGATGAAGTTGCTGCTGTATTAAAGAATACTATAAACGAGATCCCACCAAAAACGTAAGTAAATAACAAATAGATAATATTAGGTTATAGAATGAAAGTAAATAAAATGGAAGGCATAACTCTTCTTTCGCTTTTTTGAAAATAAAAAGATAATCCAAAATTGTAAACGCTGTCAATTCTGGAGAGCTCAAACGTAAAATAGTATGTATGTAACGACATCTTATATACATATGTATATATGTATGTATATACTACTCCTTTACCGAAGTGGCAGCAGCAGCATTTGTGCTGGTTGTCGGACCAGGGGGAATAATTCCACCGGATGTCCCAGTTCCTCTTGTACCTAGTGCCTCAGTAGTAGGAGCACGATGATTGCAACCTTCATTACCAGAAGTAAACTGCGAAAGCGGATATGATTGCTGTTGCTGTTGGTGGTGTTCAATTGCAGACGCTTTTTGACGTAACAATGTCCAATCAAACACATAATCCCAGACAAATGATAAAGATCGGAAGAGATTACGAAAATTATTCCGCAGAAAACCATAATTCGGTGTTTCTTCAAATTGCAAAGCACGACAATGACTCAGGTAAACAAGAAATTCTGAGGGATAACCACGACACAAAACATCAATTGGTGTGCTAGCTTTCTTTTCATGAATTCGTTCATATTTCTGTGGTTTGTTGCCAGCCTTTTAAGAAAAGAGAAAATTACCGTTGTGCAACTTTGCAATATAAAAAAGAGGGATGAAAAGAACAAATGAAGAGTGATAAAACTGAAATACAGTTTACTATCAATGAATATGTTGCATATAACGAAAAAGTAGTGGAAAAAATATATATGAGCACGGTATGAGGACATAAAGAGATGTGTAACCGTCTTTATCATTGGTTTCTGGCGGGTGGATGCTAATTTATTAGCCAGCGTCATCTATCAAGATCTAAAAATTTAAGCAATCTACACATGTAGCAGTTGAAATTAAAAATGTGGTTCGCAGTTTAATGTTAAAGGAATCTACGTAAGTTACTGATATGTCGCGTAATCACTAAACAGATCAGTTTTCTTCAATATCATATCCGACTTATTGAACTAATACTAATTGATCACTATATACATTTACACAAAAGAAATTTAACTGAATACAGTTAAATCACTTGAGCAACTGAAATAATGGGATACTTATTAATAATATTGCACATATTTGTGTAATATGTATCTTGAGTCACACCAACTGTTAGAAAGCTGGTAATAATACTCGATTATGCAGACAAAGTATATTGACTTTGAGTCAATAACATAATTATCAAGAGTAAAGTATACCAGAACCGACAGTAGCCTCCGCCTTGACGTGATGGTCGGCCCGTTTATCATGATGACCTAATCGAGATAATATAGGCTGGAACACCTGTTTATTTGGGTCCTACCACGCTAGCCAGGTTGGTTAGAGACTAGGAGCATCAAAACTCGTGGTCTGAAGGGGAAATTATACTGCCAACTGAATACGGGTGTAGTTGTACTAAGGTGCCTCCTTCAGACAACCAGAGCCTACAGAGATGCTGTTTTCTCACAACGAAAGAAGGTTAGGGAAGGTCCCGAGGATTACCATCTCCAACAGTAAGACCATGAGTCTGGAGCTACTTAATTTAAAACTACTACAAAAATGTCGTGTATGACGGGTTTTAACCACGTGTTTCTTTATATCTGAGGTCACACTCCTAGATTCCTAAAACACCAATAATCCAGTTTATTTTTCAAGTAACTCGAGAAGATCTATTCTTCCATGTGTCGGAAACTGGGACTTGACAACCGCCGTAATGCTTTTAAGAAATCACAATAAAACCAATTAAGTCGTATGATTATATGGCTAGCTAATCTAATATACGATTATTTATAAAGCTATAAGTTCTACTTAATTTTTTGCGAAGATGTAATAAAACTTCTCAGATAAATAACGCCACGGCGTATTTAAGCTCAAACATACACTAATCAGCAGACAAAGACCTTGTTATTCACTATTCAGTTTTACAAATACTACATTTAAGTAATTTAACAAATTGCGGTGTTTGGGAAGTAAAATAATTTTAGTTGCTATAAATTAATACAAGAATATTGCAAGATTATATCCATCGTCTAACTTATCAAATATCATTTATTCAATATTAATTACATCTAAGTATTTATATGAATTTATTGATACCGATGAACACTTAGGACTGCAATATGATGTTAAAGGTAACTGAGATAGTAAAAATAGCTCAATAAAAATATTCTGACTGTACCGCTGAAAGATTCAAATACAAGTTAATAAGTAGACTGATTTGTATAGGCTTAAACTCTCAAACATTGTGACAACACAGAAAGAGGAAGTCAGCAGCAATGGGAGAACAATAAAATAAGAAAACAGAGCAGAAGTGAAGAGAAGGAAAGTAAAAAGGTATGTAAAGGAATTCAAGAGAATAGAAAAGACTCATTATTACACACGAATTGTTAGTCATTTATTTCTGTCATCTTGTGGATAACATTGAAGACACCAACGTTAAAACAACTAAATTTGTATGGAATGGTGCCATAACCTGGTGCGTTCAGCCTTGGTGATTTTTAAACTTAATACTACAACAGCTAACATTGCGTGCTGAATTAGTTAGTGTCTTGCTTTATGCAAAAAATAGACTAGCCAACATAGAAGAAGTTCATCAATCCTTGCTTAGAGTTCCATACTCACACATAATATCCTAAGTTCCATAATCCTACTAGACGTGAATAATACTCCGAAGATATCGATAAATAAAAACATGTGAACTTTGAAAGTCTTTCATTGTCAAGAATCCCACTTCAGTGATAAAAAGTATCATACAAACAACTAATGCATGCAATATTCATCTTTTGGGTTCGTAATTCAATAACTTAAGTAGTGTAAAGACTAAATAAAAAAAATACGAGAATAACAGTTTGACACTGAGAACAATATTGTAAGGAATACCATTGACAGTCGTTATTTAATAACTCCCTCTATATTTCAGATACACATACAATGATAGAATTAACAATATTTTCACATTTGTAAGATGAAGATGCTGATGTGGAATGGATCGACAATTTCTGCATCAGTGATTCGAGAAGCTTCAGTTGATTGGCTTTATTTTGAGCCCGTTTCAGTTGTAAAATAGATTTGAGACCATCCAAAAATATAGACGTTGTAGAATAATAACACCAATAACGTCACCAGTTGATATGACCGAGACAATTTTGTACAATATTCGGAAAGCCGGATTTGAATTGATATTACTCGAACCGACAATAAATATGATTGCTACCCCCAAGACCCTATATCTCACTGAGTCATCGGGATATCAGGAGACAAAGCCTGACCTGTTACTACGAAGAATACATTTTAGGGAAAAATACCACTCTTTTACACACAAATTTTCTTTTCAGTAAATATTATTTATATTTAAATAATTACAAATTAAACGAGCATCATGCTAGATGAATAAATAACAAAAACTGTCAAAATACAACCAAATACTATACTGAAATAAACAATAACCGAAATTATCAGAATGTACTCGAATATTATTTTGAAGAGGTATCATGCTGAATTAATCTATAATTTCACGCCTAATCAGTTCTTATCAGTCCACAGATTGCATATGAACAATTGAGCTTCACAACTTGTGTATTACATGTTAAGCTTAACAAGTTAAATGAGCAATTTATCAAGGTATCAAAGGAAGATGACCACATTCTTCAGTGTATTATATCAGCATTCAGCAGACTTCTAAAATGTAGTGAGTTTACCTTAACTTATATTTATGGAAGTATGGTTTATTTGTATAATTTTACAAAAAACAACGGAGTAATCCTTGGTGTCACTATTCGCACATAATTTAAGGTAAATAACGTCTTTTTAACGAAAAATGCTTGTAAATACTTACTAAACCAATGAACAAAAGAGTTTTACAGTGTGAACACTATTATACCTCCCAAATATAAATCAACACAAGTGACTACTCTGCACGAGATTACAGCTTGGAAGAAATGCATCACACAAATAGAATAAGTATCGTTGTTTATTTGTTATGTTTGTTAATTGTTTTAAAAAATTAAACAAATATTCATTGAAAGCTTTTTGTATGCATAGCAGAAAACTTAACAAAAGACAAATAACCTAAATTTTTGGAAGGCCATGCGTTTGACTTTAGGTTAATGGGAGTATCAGAGTATTTTAAAAACTGGGGATCAAATAACAGCAACACAAACCTTCAGTATACCACTTATTTGGATAAATTGTCAAACGAGTCAAAGACTCCGCTCTCAGTAATTGAGAGTACAGGGTCAAAATTCAGCATAAGCAACTATATATATAAACGAATACTTGCTTACTGGGTATCTTCATAAGTGGAAGCTAAAACTACTAAGGAAATGATATATTTCACGTTTACATAGACTTTACCAGTACGAAAAAGAAGAGTTAGAATTTTCGCAACAAAGTGGGAAACTGGAAATAATAAACTGAATTATTAAGATTACGATAACAAAAGTTCAAATTTGTACAGAATTTACAAACCAAGCTAATACAACTCAAGTTATTGCAAAACTTTAACACTAGTATTTGATAGTTCAATGATTCATTTGTGTTATTATAAATATATGTACTTATAATTATATCTGATTGTTCGTATTTTAAATCGCGCGTCATACAGTACTTCTATCAGAGTTTTTGTTTTGAATGCATTTGTACGTATGTGTGTGAGCATTTTAGTAGAGAATAATAATTTATACTGATCTTTTAAGATAATAGTACAAAAAAGAAACCAAATCTTTAAAGCCTTGGAAAGAAAATAACTAAATAGGTACTACGTTAAAATCACATACTTGTAGTCCTTGCCATGGTAGACTACCACGGAGGAAATACATTAAAACGTAGCCAAGAGATTCCATATCATCTCTTCGAGATTGTTCAATACCAGCATGAGAATTAAGACTAGCATACCGCGCTGTACCAATAAGAGATTTGTCGTCTCTATATGAAATATGACGACGTGTTCTATGATCTCTGTTGATTGGAATAACAAAAAAGTAAACAATTGCTATTTTTTAAAGTATATTTTAGACAAAACCCACTACAACTTATGTTGAACGACACTATTGAAAACTATAATGTTTTATTTATAAGAAACCATTTTAACTAGCTAAGCTTCGGTTAAATTTTACAAATCGGAAACTGTTTTTTGTACACTCAGTAAGATGAGTTACCACATCCAATTGCATCTACGTGCATTCACTAGTCTTTCTGCCCCAGAAAAGTAGTGTATATTGAACGTAGACAGTAGTTAGGACACGTACACAACATTACAGTTTGGTTTTACAATGGTGAGAAGAAAGTGGTTAAGAGTGAGATTACTGAACATTTAATTGACCGTAACAATTTCACAAACCTACATGCTTATTTTATGTTTGTTTAATCTTGACTTGATATGCAAATATGAGATGATTGAGGGTCATTTGTAGCTTCATGGTAAAGATGATAGTGTTATGATCTCTAATTCAGATAGTTTGCTTTTGAAGTTTCTTTTGTCCTTCTGATGTTATTCAGAAAGATGATAAAAGTTTCACAACTAAACCATCCAACGCTTCCAATACACAAAAATATCGGTAAAACAGGCACTAATGAAAATATGAGCCACAATAAAGGAAATAAAATTATGGGGACAGGGGAAGGGATATAATTAAAACTAAATCAATGAGTAAAAATGAGTGGACAAGGGTAGTAAATAATGGGGGAAATGGTTCAATGAGAATAAAACCAGAAATATTTCTTCAAAGTGAGTTTTTTTTACATTTTCTATGAATATAGAGGAAACCTACGACAGGATTGTCACTGGCTGGCCCTGTTTTGTGTCATATCTGAAAACGTATCAAACCACTGAGTTCCACCCTTTCCAAAATATAAATCATTAAGTCGTAATGAACAATCAGTTTATTTTTACACAGCTTTCTTTCATACAATTGCGCCATGTCACAAACTTATCACTGTTTTCAAACTCCATTTTAAGGTCGGTAACCAATGATTTAAGTGTAAGTCACTAGGATGATATTCGTAGCATATGTCAAGGCCACTAAATCTGGTGATTCGAGATGATGATAATGACTGAATCTTCGCCACTGCCTCCGAACACGTATCGTTTCATCAGAACTCACGAACTTACTTAGATAAACAAACGTCTCCACATTTTTTAACAACTCATAACCAAAAGTGAGTGCACAAACATGCTCCTCTCAGTCTATTAAAAATACATTGCACTTCGAAGGTGCGAAGTACATACCATACCTAAAGGACAGTAGTTGTCAACTGGTTAAGTGTGACTTACAGTTTGTGTATCATCACACAGCAAAATAATATTATTCACATACTCAAGATTCGAAAGTCTTTTGCCAGGTAGCAGATGCACATCAGTAAAACTTACTTCCATAAGAGCAGTTTCTGCAATGTCTTCGACGGTAAACTTGAGGTGGACTAGTGAGATTGCGAAGTCCTGCCCAACTCCATTTCTGGAACGGGACAATGAACACTGGTGATTGATTGTATGCCTGAAATATTTGTGTACAGGAACTTCAAGGTGCTAACAAACCTCCCAATCACACCCTTTTTCAACAAAAAAATGTCAGAGTACAATCCTGCCCAACGAATCGAAGGTGAGCCTGATACCAAAAAATGCAACGAACGCTGGCCCACAATAGGTGTAGTAGCGTTCCAAAATCTGATGGAAGGTGAAAACATGATCAATACACTCAAAACATGGTCGTAAACCAGCTGACTTCTCATGACTCAGTATTCCATGAGTTTTCAACAATTTGTGAAGTATGACAGAAGCCAGTAGTTTGAACGAAATCGAAAGTAGATTTATCCCTCGACAGTTGCTCTATACATGAAGCAAATCACTTTTAAAGACAGTGACGACAGTCGCTTTATTCCGGGATTTTAGATTACTCTTTATCTCCTACACCTTCCTAGACAAACCTGTCAGTTATGTCACCAGACGTTCGCCGGCTTCCTTACAAGGATCAAGTCACCGGAGTCTTTTAACTTGTCATACTTAGGAAGTTAGAGCTCCTCCCCCTCGTTAGGCGGATGAGTCGTAATCAACCATAAAGAAAACGACAGTCTGATTGACCTTGATGAGGCAGCGGACCAGCTAAACGGTTTCTCAAAAAATCTCGTCGTCATCTAAGATGTCGCTGGACATTACTTGATTAGCACTTAATCAACTTCACATGTTGTATAACTCACAACAGGCTTTCTCCTGCAAGTAGCCTAAATAAATTGAAATGGTTCACAGATGTTATAGGCAGCTTCAATCACCATATTTCTCAGTCCTCGAGCAAACTTCGTAAAAGTTTTTTATGTGGGAATCTAAGCTTAACATTAAACTAGCGATTTGCCGTAGTGGACAGACATACCTCAAGGACTTGCAAAGAACCATGGGAAACCCAGTGACTATAGCCGCGAAGTTCTGCGAACCAGCAACATGCCAAGATTTCTTTGTTTACAAATCTTTAAAAAAAGAAAACCTTCTGATACTCATAAGATGAAGACTTCGACTTGGGCCCTAGTTTATTAATTCTACAACCTATCCTCATTAATAAAGAAAACTACCGCTCGTTCTGGTGTACATGTTTAGACTATGATAACACTCTAATACGAGCACGCGTTTGTTTATGCCTCACTAGATGCAGAAAAGCCACATTAAAAAGACCTCTTGGAGTTAAACTCCGTGATGAGAAAGCCAAAAGTAAGTTCCAGGAACAACTGAGTTCACATCTAGGCAGTTCTGTAAACGAGGCTGACCCAGATGTTACTTGGAAAGATATACGGACAGCTGTGGAAACAGCAGTAACATCTATTAGTAATTTAAACCAAAGGGTTACAAAATATTAATGTCTATTACACTGATAGACGCTCATAAACTCACCCCATCAGGCTGTGAACACGACGAAGAGCGAAAGCAAATCAAATCTAGATTAACCAAAAGTCTAAGGAACGATCGTGAGTGATAGTGGGCAACGAAAGCAAAAGAGATGGGAAAGACAGCGGCTGTAGGTAATACGAGACAACTCTTCAGACTAATGAAAGAAACCAGAATTAAAAAGTCGAGTGTAAGCGAAACAATCTCGGAAAAAGGAGGAAACCCTTATCTGCTCTCAGCCCAGACTTTAGAAAGATGGGCAGGACACTTTAAGGAGTAGTTCAAATGCCCTACAGCTACTGTACAACTACCCATTATTCTCAGAAAACCTAAATGGAACACTGAGGTAGGTCGCCCGACTCTAGCTAATGTGAAACGAGGAAGAGCAGCTGATCCAGATGTCTTTCAGGATAGCGGTCCAATTTTAGCGGTTAGGTTGACTAATATTTTGGCTAAAATCTAGGAGTTGGACGTAATCACATCTGACTGGTGACAATCGTCGATTGTCGCAATATATATAAAAGGAGTCAAAATCATCCTGTGATAACCATAGAGGGATTAGTTTAACTAATATAGAATCCAAAATACTAGTCTCAATAATTATCGTACGCTTAACAAAGACTCATGAACTGCAGACACGAGAAAATCAAACTGGCTTCAGACGTGGTTGTAGCTTCATCGACCACATGTTCATCATTCGTCAGATTTTAGAACACAGACATGCTTATCGGCGTCCGACAATGGTGGTTTCTCTTGACTTAGAAGTTGCATTGGACTATGTAGACCGAGAGGCTCTGTGACAATGTCTGTCATTGAAAGGTGTATCTCAGAAGTACATAAACCTTGTGAATGCTCTTTACTCGAACACTACCAGTCAAGTCAGAGATTATGGAGAACTGTCATCTGATTTCACAACCTCAAGTGGTATCCGGCAAGACTGTTCATTACCTCCATTTTTGTTTAACTTCATCATAGACCTACTGCTGAAAATGACGTTCTTGTCATCTGAGTTTTCGGGCATTGATCTCCTACCAGGAAGTCCTCTTATCGACTTAGAATACACAGATGACATAGTCCTGTTTGATGAAGACGCTGATAAAATGCTGTCTTTTGGTAGCACTGCGTAACAATGCAAGGATGTTTGGGATTTGTTTTCCCCCTCTAAATGTAAATTGGTGCCTCAGGACTGAGCTGCGTCAATAACCGAACTAAGGATAGGGAGTGAAGAAGTCGAACGCGTCGACAACTTCACTTATCTTGGAAGTCTGACCAGCCCTAATCGGTCGGTATCTGACGAAATCTCTACACGGATTCAGAAAGCTCGTTTGGCTTTTACCAACTTACGTCACCTATGGCGAAGGCGAGATATCCGTCTATCAATAAAAGGATGAGTATACTGCACGGCAGTTAGCTCTGTTCTACTTTACAGCTGCGAAACGTGGTCATTAATGACAGAAGATACTCGTAAGTTACTAGTATTGAACTACAGATGCCTTAGAAATATTGCTCGCATCTCCTGGGATCACTGGGTAAGTAATAGTAAGGTTAAACACAGGGTATTAAGGAATGGTGGTAAATCAGTTGATGAGGTTGTGAATCTTCATCGACTGAGATGGTTAGGCCACGCGTTACGTATGCCTGAACACAGGTTACTACGACGCGCAATTCTCACTAGTATTGGCGATGGTTGGAAAAAAGTTAGGGGTGGTCAAACCAAAACGTGGCATCAGTGCTTGAAGTCACTAACCTCTAGACTAAGCCATGTTGGTAGATGCAGACAACTTGGTTGAGGTCCGCGTGACTATCGTAACCAATAGTTGGAGACTCTGGGTGACATGGCTCAGAATCGATCACAGTGGCGTAGGTTTATACACTCTCTGTCTTCCCTTAAACCTTGAGATTAAGATTGCTTCATATTTGTCTTTCTTCCTGTACTATATCCTTATATACAACCTATTTTTTTCTTTTGGCTGTATTTTTACTAACCTAATTCTCCATTCATTACTATTATTACTAGTAGAAGTGTTTCACCCATACACTAATTTCCGCTCGTTGTTCTTTCTATTCTACGCACTTTATATTATCTGTCTCTTCACAACCTCGCTGTTATTGTGTAGCGCAAATGTATTTGGTGCTTCCTTGTACCAGTGTTTATGTGTTCAAATAAATAAATAGTTGTTGGTGGAGATAAGGGTTTCGTCAAACATTTTTTACAATATTTCTTATATATCCGCTTATCATTTAGGGAGTTAGTGTCGCCCTACGTGCACCATTAAGTTATACAATAATATTGTTATTGTAGTTTGTGAACTTACCGCATTTAAATGTATATTAGTCTCATTCCAGTTGTTGCTCGTCTCTTCTGGGATTACCGGGTAAGTAATAGTGAGGTTAGAGACAGGGTATTAGGGAATAGTGGTAAATCAGTTGATGGGGTTGTTAATCTTCATCGACTGAGATGGTTGGGCCATGTGCTACGTATGCCTGAACACCGATTACCACGACGCGCTATGCTCACTAGTATTGGCGATGGTTGGAACTAACTAATTCTTTCTCCGTGTATTACTACCGTTGAAGTAACTACTTCTATGAATTCGGTGTTCATCTTGTTGTGCTAATTAGGTGTGGTAATTTGGACGGATGCATGTATTTGCCTGGTCCTACGTTGTAACTGACTGATCTCATTTAGGTAGACTTTGTAGAAGTTACACAACTCTGTATTGTTATTATGTGCACTAGACGACTAAGTATCATAATGACTGTTGTTACGCTATTATGATTATTAAGTGTTCAGATTTCGTTGTTGAAAAGATATATCTTCGCTGAATTTCCTGCTCTTGATGTTTTTATTAGTAAATCAAATAGTCAAAGAGTCATCAAGAACGTTCACAAATGATATATTTATAGCCCATTAACTCAAATCACTATATTTCTGACTACGAACTTCAATATCAACAGCAGAAGACGAACAAAATCTTAATGTTCAGTTATTTTTCTCACCAACAAAATGTTGTCATATTTAAAACATTATTTTGGGTGTCAAATTCCGACTGACACATTTAACAAAAAATCAGAAGTAAATATTGGTACTAGACTGATGATCAATTTACTGGACTGTGATACCAGATACACAATAAAATTATTGGCAGGTTGAGGATGAACTCCGCACACAGTTATTACGCTACGATAAACAAATTATTGTTCTTGTATTGGAAGCATAGCTAAAATCTTTTGAACTTAATATTTGCAAAGAAAATAAATTCATCACGCGTATTTCTAAATGCAACCGATAAATCATAATCCAACGAGTTATTTCGTTTACTCAATCAGAATGATTGAAAACAGAGCAGTTCTCCATTTTATCATGTACTATCACTCTAACAACAAATTTACAAAATCAATCAATGATGCAGAACCAACTAAATATTCCTTAAAACATCGACGACTTTAATGATATCTAATTACCAGCCTGGTCTCTCCTTTATAGATCTATATTAAAATCCGGCTTATGTATTTCCCATCGGCCATGGTGGAAAATATTTTCATGAAAATTCGCAGGATATTTCAGGTAGTGAGCTTTTAGTGGTTGCCAGAGTAGCTGTATGAGTCCTAGTGATAGTTTGACAGATGGACGAACCGTATACCGAAACGCAGAGCGACTTACACCTACATGACCCGCTTTCGGTGCTATCATCAATCCTTTTTGTGAAAGTTTTGATGCCCCTATGGACCAAACCTGCTCAGTCGTAATAGTAAAGCAATTTCGAGATGCACACAAAAAATGGAATCTGGTTATCAAATAAATAAGATTTTTCGATATAATGGTGAACACTAGATGGAAATAGGTAGTGATGGATAGAAAACGGATTATGTTTCACCTGAGAAGCCAATGGGGGGAAAGTTACTGTTAGGAAATTAACGAACAGACAACGCTTGTTATGTGGTTTGCAGTAGATCGCTACTTGAACTCGACTTTCAATTACTGAGTTCCAGATTTAAATTCCGCTTTTATATACTTTGGTTCTAGAACCTGAGTGGTGTTAAAGGCCTACAAACAAAAAGTTTGGTTAAACCCGAATATGACCATGTATTAGGTAAATGAGTCAACATTATCATTAACCTTTGGTGTAGGTACGTAAAAAACTGTCGATCCTTATGAAGAAAGAGGATCAATACCAATTAAGATTAATTCTTGTTACATTAAATTATTTGGTACGAACTCTAGTCATAGACTTTCAATACAGTTTTACTAGGATTTGTATTTAGCGACATACTCAGACAAGGAAGAAAAGGATGAAAGTAACATCGCTCCCTGTATTGAAGTCGGAGTTGAGAAATATTAGAAGAGTACATGAACGTATCAGGACATGTTAATAATCTAACACTAGTTCAGGAAAACATACCTGTAACTCAGCGAATCCAGGGAACGCAATTGGTTAAAATCGTTGGATTCAGTTTCAAGGCAAGTTTCAAAAGTGCAATCATGTAATGGCTGAAGTTATGGACATGAAGTGCAGTACACAAATACCGGAGTCATATACTATTTGGAGTAAAAACAATGATTACAACTGCTAAAACACATAATGAAGGGTTAAAATTCATTTGGTCTTGGAACATTTTCCCTAACTAACTGATGCACAGTAAATAACTTTAAGTGATTGACATCAAGACCAAAGGTATTTTACACAGAGAAGTAGGCATAATTATCAACAGCAGCATCACATAGAGAGGAATACAGTGACAAAATACATGTGATGGATGATATCAGACCCAAGAAAGCTGTAATTTGGCATGTTAAGTCGAGAAGAAAGGGTTCGTAATTCGTATCCAGTAGATGCCCAGAAAGACAGACGAAGTTAGAGGACTAGTCTAGTTGCTAAAATCGTAGGATTCGTAATCCTTGGGGATTTACGGGAACTCAGAAACTGAAATTCCCAGAAAACTATGAGTGTTACAGCAGCTAGGTAGCATATTGGTCATATATTTACTTCACAATAGACTCCAGAAGAGTGTATGGATAGAATGCATATAAACCAAGTCACAGTATTGACAGCTCTGCAATAACACCTACGCTCGTGTAATAAATCAAAAGTGCTTCGGTTAAATTTATGGATATATATATATATATATATATATATATATATATATATATATATATATAGATAGATAGATAGATAGATAGATAGATAGATAGATAGATAGATATGCGATCGCATTACATGATAAGAACTCACCGAAACTTTTTGGCCAGACCAAAATCAATTATAAAAACTCTGTTGCACTGACGACCGATACCCATTAAGAAATTATCTGGTTTTATATCTCGATGAATAAAGCCCTTTGCATGTATAAAATCTAGTCTCCATAACATTTGATCAGCTAACATCAAAACAGTTTTCATTGTGAATCTGCGCCCACAAAACGTAAAAAGATCCTCCAAGCTAGGTCCTAAAAGTTCTATTACCATAGCATGATATAGATTTCTAACGCCATCAAGTCCATAAAACTGAATACGAGGTATTCCTGGAGTTTCCTTAGAGTAAATAAATGACTACAAAATCCTAACTCACTCGCAATACTCGATATACTTTACTTTCAAAATACAGCTGACAATGTCGTGTGCGTACACGCTCCATTTTTATTGCTACTTCTTCTCCCGTAACGATGTTAACCCCCAAAAATATAGAACCAAATGATCCACTTCCGATTTTCCGTACAAGTCTCCACTTTTCCGCTACTATATACTTAGATGACGATAAACGTTGAGAGTCATCCATCCCTTTTACACCTTGGAGTCAATAAAAAAATACATAAGATGTTTCGGTATTAAAATAACAGAAATATAGTTTATTTAGCCGAAAACAATCCTAAATAAAAATGCATAGGCAGATATTTCTCGCCGCAAAACCCGTCGCCCAGCAAATCACTGCAGATATGTTTTCCAAGTAACTGGTCGATTGGGTGGTCTACACCTGAATGTCATACTTAAGTAATAGAACGACGTAAGGGGTGAAGCATTTATTCCCTAAGTTATAACATCCCACGTAGCTATGTAGGAAATCAACAACGCTAGTGTTGTTAAAAAGATAGAAAACAAAGTCTCTTTTCTAAGTGCAAAAATTTAGTTATCCAAAGAGTGAATAGATAGACGTCGTCAACTAAAAAATTATAAGCTACTGTGAACCATCGTATTTGAGGGTCAACTAGTAAAAGCTCAAAAATATACGATTATTAAAGAGTCTGTGATTGGCCTTGAGACGATTTTGCTCTGCTTTTGGCTGCACTTCAGGGTCAACGACACATAGAAAGTTCGCGTTGCTATCTTGTTTAGTTTAATTATTCACGATCAAACCTATACTTTACCCTTTGTCCCTGTTTTAACAATACACCATCTTACTTTCTGGAGTGGTCATGCATAGATATGGAAACTTTAAGTTTCATCAGCCACAAAACCATTTTATATTTCAAGTTTCAAATATCCGTCCGAACTATATACCTCCTACAACTCCTCCACACTGCTTCATCGATCGAGCTGGCGTGAACAAGTTTAAAACATGGAGTGGCTCTTGTTATGTCCCGACAACAATGGTGAATGGTAACTTTGGGATTCATTTACGGACCAATACTATGCATATATTTTTAATCGCGTAATTGTCAAATAACTAAACTATTCATATTCGTGTCCGCCTTATTATGAGCTATATTTTGACCTATGAACTATTGCTACATGATTGACCATTCTTGAATTATGCCGTCTACTATTTACTATCTCCCTTATTCATAGCCACATTTAGCTAAATCTTGTACAAATGTTAGTCTCTATTTTATGGTACGATGTGGTCTGTTTGATTGATATATAAACTCAGTATGTTTGAAATATAGTGATTCATACCGCAGAGCCTGAGATTGGTGTTCTGGACTTAATAGACAGGGCTAGGAAGAAAGCAGGACCGACAAGTACTCTATACTGCTCGCACGGGTTTTGTATGTCATCGGTCCGACCGATAATTCACTGCTCTCTAATTGGCGGTATTATCACGTTAAGTGTGGGCAGAGAACTCGGCCACAAGTTATGACAGCTCTGCAATCACGCGGTCATTACTGCTGGTGTTATTTATTAAAAATAAACTGTTCTCACCAAAATTCGAAATCGTATATTCATGTATGGACGTTCTGATCTTGAGATGCAGTGAAAAAACGTTAACACAAGGAGCCAAGTAACAACAAAGCAAAATAGTAAGTCCTAGAGAAATAACTTCGGGGGTTACTAGGGTTACTGACTGACTGGGATATCTGTAAAGATCTATAACTTGAAAGTGATCCTGCTAAAATGATCTTAGCGACTGATTACCTCGTCTCGTAGGATACAATGGAAAACTTAATGTGACAAATAAAGTGATTGATATTGTTGTGAACAGAACACTGGTTGGGGACAATCGAATGTATTTAAGCAAAGATTACAGACTATCTCAGTAAATTCTGATTACCAAACAATGAACAGTCAATTTGCAAATTAACAACCAATTGTTTCAATCTTCACTGTTTCTTCTCTTATTCCATTGCTCATGTATTTTCCAAACGATTGCGCTTCATTTCAGTTCTTTACTCATCGGTCTTCTGCGAAAATACATTCTATGTCTGACCCACACCATATACTACTTATATAGATGTAAGTAGACCACACCACAATATGATCAATATGGTTTCTAAGATATTAGTACGATAAACTGATTCAAAAGGGAGGAAACGGGATGATTCTAAAGCCCTATCAGAGCCGCACGAACAAAGCAATCTTTTCCAACCAACTCTGAGATATAACTAGCAGCAACCGACTGTTGTCGATACTGCCTCTAAAGCAATCTGTATCAGCTTTAAAACAATTAACCACTTAAACCTTGATGAGTTAGTCATTTGTTAAAAATTTTGAATTTTTCGATTGCCAAGTGAATTACCAAACGTTTACGTCTTTGAATGTCGGACGACCATAGCTTTGAGGTAAACTAACTCAACTGGTATTTACCGTACCGTGGGTCCAACTTTCTGGTCATGCATTTCGGTTTATTCTTCGTAAAGACAGAGTATCACAACAAGACCTATGACATACTACATAGTTACCAAGTTGTATGAAACTGGATCCATAGTCACTTGGCTTGATAATAACTAATATGAAGCGTTTTCAGGTCTTGAGATATACAAGCAACCATGTTCTTAGGTATCCAATGACTGGTATGACGTCAACTTTATTAGCATAGGAATCCAAAAAACATAAAGTTGAGAAATGAAAGTATAATACACAGGTACAATTCACTTACATTTAACGCAAGAAGCAACCAACAAGTGGTGTAGAATTATGAACTCAGGACTTATTAGTGGTGTTGTATTTAGCAATTAGTCTAGCCTGTAAGTACGTTTTATGCTGTGTGAACGTACGTAGAAACGTATGTGAATAAATCTGGAAAATGGAAAAAATGCCACATAAATCAGTAGATATAGAGAAGGTACCTACATTTCGCGATGGAAATAAACGGTGACAACCAGATTTTTTAATCCTAAAAATCCCCGCCCAGACCTTCGGTTTTCAGTATCCAATACCTTCGAAACTAGTATATGTAATCCAGCCTACATTTTTCAGCAGTGGGGATGGGAAATAAATCGTCCTATATTATTTCTTGTAAATTGAAGAACTATACTGATCAAATCTCACTTCACATAGTCAATGAAGTTGACGATGATGTTGGTGATGAGTTCCACTCAACTGATTGTTCAACGATGATCCGTAGTGTCGCTATCTGGTCTGTGCACGACCTATCCTTACGGAATCCAGCCTGTTGACCTCGAATTTGGGCATCTACTGCGTCTTTCATCTGATTCAGCAGCACTCTGTTGAAAACGTTTCCTGGTACTGATAACAATCTGATGCCTCTGTAATTCTCACATTTGCTCAGATCTCCCTTCTTTGGTATCTTGATGAGGTATCCTTCTTTCCAGTCCGTTGGCACTTAATCCTCTTCCCAAATCTTCTTGAATAGAAGGTGAAGCATGTTTGCAGTTATTTCAATGTCTGACTTCAGTGCTTCTGCTGGTATATTATCAGGTCCTGCCGCCTTCCCACATTTGAATTGTCTGATGGTCATCTTGACTTCTTCCATCGTTGGTGGAGTGATATCTATTGGAAGGTCTGTGTGGGCTGCTTCGATGTTCGGTGGATTCAATGGGACTGGTCTATTCAGCAGTTCCTCGAAGAATTCTGCCCATCTTTTCCTCTGTTCTTGAATCTCAGTGATTGTCTTTCCTTCTTTTTCCTTGACTGGTCTCTCTGGTTTGTTATATCTTCCTGCCAATTTCTTCGTTGTATCATATAGTTGTTTCACATTCCCTTCTCTTGCAGCTTTTTCCGCCGTCGTTGCTAGTTCTCCCATGTATTTCTGCTTGTCGGCTTTAATGCTATTCATCACTTGCTTGTTTGCTTCTGCGTAGTATGCTTGTGCTTTGAATTTCTCTGCTCGTGTTCGACTGTTGTTAATTGCTAGTTTCTTGTTCTTCCCTTCCTGAATCACGTACAGGGTTCCCATAAAGATCCATTCCTTATGATGATGTTTCTCGCGACCCAGAACCTCCTGACACGTTGAAGTTAGTGCTTCTTTTATCCCTTTCCAGTTGTCTTCCATCGTAGTTTCTTGTTCATTCAGTAAATCCTGTAGAGCCTGGAACCTGTTGTTGAGAGTTATCTTGAATTCATGGAGCTTGTCAGTATCTCGAAGGAAGGTTGTATTGAACCTTTGTAGTGTTGTTTGTCCAGTTGTCCAGTGTTTCTTTAGCTTCAGTCTCATCTTGGCCACAACCAGGTGGTGATCTGAAGCTATGTCAGCTCCTCTCCTGGTTCTCACATCTTCCATTGTTCTTCGGTATTTTTTGATGATACAGATCTGATCTATCTGGTTCTCTGTGGTGTGGTCCGGTGAGATCTATGTAGCTTTGTGTATGCGTTTGTGGGGGAATATTGTGCCGCCTATAACCAATTTGTTGAATGCACATATATTTGTAAGTCTCTCTCCATTTACATTTCTCTCTCCTAGTCCATGTCATCCAATTATATCTTCATATCCTGTGTTGTCCACTCCAACTTTAGCATTTAGATCTCGCATCAGGATGGTGAGGTCCTTTCGTGAGCACTTCTCTATAATTGATTGCAGCCTTTCATAGAACTGATCTTTATCATCGTCGTTGCTATCATTGGTGGGTGCATAACATTGGATAACATTCATTGTGATCCCCTCCTTCTTTGTTCTGAATGATGCTTTGATAATTTTGGATCCTTGAGATTCCCATCCCACAAGTGCATTTCGTGCTTCTTTGGACAGCTTTAGAGCAACTCCCTGAGTGTGTGGAGCATTTTTCTCTACGTGACCGGAATACAGCAGCATCTCTCCTGTACCTAGCCTTTGTTGTCCAGCTTGGGTCCAATGGGTTTCGCTGATTCCGAGTACTGCCAAGTTGTATCTCCTCATTTCCATTGCTATTTGACTGGTATTTCCTGTCTCTCACATTGTCCGGACGTTCCATGCATCTATACAGAGTGTTGCTCTGGTTGTTAGAAGTGGATCGGCCTCGTGACTTCCGAAGGATTTCGGCTTCCATCATGAGACGTCAACATTCTTCCTGGAAACTGGAAGGCAGAGTTTAAATGGTTTGAATTATTTTTTCTGGTTAGCGTTTTTTAGCGAGTTAGATTTTCTACGGGATGGGGTCGCTAACCGCATGCCCAACCCTCCTCCTTTACACGAGCTTGGGACCGGCAGTAACTCTAGAAGAGCTACAGGCGGAGCTGATTTTAGGTCATCCTGTAATATTATTCGATATGATATACTGTGTTTCGGTCTGAAGAATTGTGGTCAACCTTAGCATTGAAGTTTAGAGCAGATGCATGCATAAATGCACCAATAATAAACAAAAGTGTACAGTAAAAGAATCACTGGTATAATTGGTTATAATAATAGCTGTTTCTGTTATACCAATCGCATTCTCGTCACAAAAGTAGGTTACTACAAATTAATGCGATCAGCATTAAATGTCGAATATTTACAGAGCTATTGACTCTGGGGATTAGTTCACTACCACGCCCATAACATGCATTGTCTGACTGGTTGTTCTCAGGTCGAAATAAGAGAGTAGAAACCACGGTATAAAGTATATGATTTTTGGCGTTTCTTAACACTTTACCCTTTTTTGGCACATCTTCCATTCTAGTAAGCAGATTTCCTTATTCTGACTTCGCATTTCCTTTCATATTTTTAACCCAATGTTCCTTGATACGTATCACGACCTATTGTTTTTCATTGTAATATACTCTTACATGAAGGCTACAACAACACTTTATATATATACATTTATCTATACATTTCTCGGCATTTATTCTGATATGCGTTCGTCTGAATCTGGATCGGGCAAAAAAGGTTTTTATTCTAGCAAACGTCTTCCTCCAACATATGTTACATCGAAGGACAACACCACGGTAATCTGCTCGAGGTTTACAATCATTTTGATCACCGCAATTGCAAACAAAGGATTTCCCTAGCAGTCCCATTTATTGTAGCCGTCAAACTGTCACGTCTTGTCTAAAGTCCTCTGTGAACCGATCGTGCATTAGAACCATGTACTGAAAATGGCGCCGTGACTTGGAAATCCTCAAATACTTCTGATTGGCTCATGGTGACTTGCTTTTGTGGCGAGAACGCGATCGGTATAATAGAAACAGTTATTATTATGACCAATCGTACCGGTGATTGTTTTACTGTACTTGTTTGTTTAAGTGTACCGAAGACACACTTTCTTCCGTTGTCTGTAACCTTGAACGAACTCGACTGCGCTCAACAGTTCCGCTTGTAAACTTTGGCACGTCTCTTTATTCTTTCTATACCACGAGATCTCCAAAGAGTATATCTTATTGAGAATAAACTACGAAAGTGTGTATACATACATAAATCCCGACTGCATATTAGAGATCCATCTCAGATGGGATAGAGTATTAATTTGAAGTGTTTGAATTATGGTATAAACTAGTAACCTGATAAACAACTCAATTAAATCGAGAAGTGTAAGATGAACACGATCGAATTTATTTTATTTGGACTTCAAAATCAAGCAGTCATCACTACGGAAGAATCATTGGTTCATTCAAACACTACATCCGCCACAACTTAAATGAGGACCCGTGTTTCTGCCATCAGTCGTACATCGTTTCTTTAGTTTCATCACGTGTCTATCCGATTGCATAATGGATGTAGACTCTGTATCATCTAGAATGCACTCATTAGTATTAGAATTAACAATCAAAATTGGAACAGACTCACCTATTTTCCGGAATAGTGTGCAATCATCATGTCGGTTGTGTAGTGAAACCACTGATATCTAGAATTTGCTTCATATATTTTTCAACACTATCCTACCCCAAGAAATAATGTTGGGTCCTCACGTCACAATGTTATAACCAATTCGATGTTCCTAATTTGTATTATCTTCTTATATCTTGCACTTCAATTATTATATGTTACATTTACGTCTTTTTTGAACGACGCCCTATCCCCAGGTTGTCGAAAAGTCAATGAGCTTTCGACAACCTGGGGATAGGGCGTCGTTCAAAAAAGACGTAAATGTAACATATAATAATTGAAGTGCAAGATATAAGAAGATAATAAAAATTTTGTGATTATTGCATATTCTTTTGGAAAATCACTTGTTGTTATGTAGTTGACCTTACAGGCTTTTTGTGCTCTCAGTAAATTTGCCTGTTACTGTAAGCATTAATCAGTCATATCCAACTTTATTTCGTATATGCACCCATTTATTGGCGCTTACATCCAATGCTTTGTGCAATTTTTTACGTTACTACACAAAATGGCCGTCAATTAATAACATTTCCCATGTACTCAACTGTAGTAGGTTTCTGTATATCCACTGGTCCATGTTCTCTTTTATGATTCTAGAGTAACGCAATTAACTGCATATAATGTGTAATCCTATGTGGAGTAACAACCTACATCACCATTTTCCTTGAGAATATATAAATATTACTTGACATATCAGCATGATGCAATGAAATCTGGACTGCATTATGGGATCTTCCCTGGAACACCATTCTCAAACACTTAATATCAACACCACTTAGAAACAGTTTAAATGAGAAGTAGGACTCCTACAGGAAAACATATTTATTGCTAACACATGTCTATTTATCTTTTTTTCGATGCATAGGGCAGTAAGAAATCCTACTTATGTTAATGGTATCGTATTAGTTGTTGCTTTTTCAGTAGATATCTTCGTGGTAGGCTTAGTCTTCACTGTCATAGTAAGATCTAATGATCAATACAGGCACTTTAAACTTACAAAACTGTATTGTCATTTTGAAATATATGATTGAGCAAGTGTATGTCAAGTGCATTAATCAAACTTTGTGGGCTAAATCGTGTTGTAGATGTAAATAAATCCTTAAAATCA